GCGTAGTCAGGAGGTTTTTACATCCCGACCTGACGCTCACAGCTTTGATTATGAATTTGTAAAGAAAAGCATCTTAAATGCGTATCAATTAAATCCAGAGGCACACAGGCAGAAGTTGTCTGATCGCTTACAGGGTAAGCGATCAGACAATAGCAGATTTTACTCGTCAGAAGACGAAATTTTGCAACAGATGGTTAAAGTCACTTTCAGTAACTGTGTTTGATGCTCTAAAGAATCTTCTTATAATGGAAGAAGAATTGTCATGTCTCCCAGACAAGTTGTCTACTTTTATGGCAGAACAAAAGAATGTAACAGACATTTATGAGCTGTCAAAGCTCGCGGATGAGCATGAGTTGTTGACTAAGGCCCAATTTACGGCCACTTCACCAAAGCCTAGTCGTAGAGTAAATTATAATGCTCACATAACTCCTTATCAGTATAAGTCTCCTGGTGCGACAGTTACTCCCGTGAACTCTTCTCTTACTAACCCTAAGATTGTTACTCCATTGCCAGGATCATCTGAGCCTAGTAATGCTAATTCTAAACCGGCAGTTGGTTCTACCAGTGTGTCCACTGTCAAGCATTGTACACATTGTAAGAGAAGGGGACATGTGATTTCTTCATGTTTTAGCTTGCATTCTGAACTACGGCCAACTGGTCTTATTATGAGTAAAGGATTGCAACCTATTAATTCTTCATGTATTACAGTCAGTCCCAATTGGATGGCTGAATTTAAACCATATATTTCCACAGGTACCTTATTATGTAATAATGGTAGACATAAGACTGTTCAATTACTCCGTGATACTGGAGCTTTACAGTCTCTTATTACCCAGAATGTACTTGCTGATGTTGACACCCGAGATCTGGGTGAAGTTGTGCTTCTCCAAGGTATTGCAGGTAGTGTGCAACCAGTGTCCTTATTGCAAGTTAACCTTGATTCTAACTATACTTCAGGATGGTGTAATGTTGGTGTAAGTAAACAACTGCCCATTCCTGGGGTAGACATTATTTTAGGTAATGATTTTGGCAACCGAAAGGTTGTAGGGCCCAAGTGTCCCATCATGTTAACTAAACCCAATAATGTATTAGCTCAACCAGAAGCAGATGATGATATTATTTACACTGCTTGTGTTGTAACTAGATCAATGGGACAAACAGGTGAGAGTAATCCTGTCTTCACTGAGGTTGCTGTTCCCAAGACCAGGACCCCTTCAGAAAAGGAGTGGGAGGTGAATCTTGAGGATTCCTTTATGACTCGACTGGATGATGAGAGTGAGGCCGTAGTAGAAGCCCCGCCGAACCTAAATGACAAGGAAAGTGAAGGTGAGGAGGCTGAACTATCTGTACCTTGCCCGCTTGTCTCCAGTGAACCAGTTGTCGAGAGTGAGGCCGAAGTAGCTATGACTCCATTTTATTCTTATCAATCGGGAAAAGAGATCAAGCTACTAGGTTCTCGCCCGCTCGCTGCTGAGTCTGAGTCATTGCCCTTAAGTGTTGTACAGACTACTGATCCTAGTTTAATTAAGTGTATTTCTGAGGCTCCTGATAATGTTGATGCATTGGAGGAAGGGACGGGTTTCTTCTTCAAGGATCGACTTCTGATGAGAAGGTGGAGACCCAAGGGCACTCCCTCTTCAGATGATTATGAGATTAGAACCCAACTCGTTGTCCCCAATGATTATCGTAGGCAGGTCCTGCAGGCTGCACATGATGACCCCATGGGAGGTCATCAAGGTATCACAAATATGTACCATAAGATATGCAAATATTTTTTCTGGCCTAAGTTAAAGAAAGACGTGGTCAGATATTGTCATAACTGTGTACCCTGTCAAATTGTTGGTAAACCAAATCAATCTGTGCCTAGAGCACCATTGCAACCTATTGTAGTTCCTGATGAACCATTTACTCATGTTGTAATTGATTGTGTAGGTCCTTTACCTAAGACTAAGTCGGGTAACATGTTTTTGTTCACTCTCATGTGTATGACTACAAGATTTCCTGAAGCTTATGCTCTAAGGAATACCAAGGCTCATAATCTCATCAAGTGTCTTGAAAGATTCCTTTCGTTGTTTGAAATGCCTAGAGTTATTCAGAGTGACAATGGGGGAAATTTTGTTTCTAAAGTTTTCAGAACTTTTTGCGAGTCCCGAGAGATTCGGCACAAATTATCCAGTCCATATCATCCACAAAGCCAAGGTGGGATTGAACGTTTCCACCAGACTTTAAAACAAATGTTGAGGACAACCGGAGAAACTCCTCCACGTAATTGGGATGAGAATCTCCCCTTTGTGTTGTTTGCTGCTAGAGAAGGGCTACAAGAGTCATTGGGCTGTTCACCTTTTGAACTCGTGTTTGGTCACCAAGTAAGAGGTCCTCTCAAAATGCTACAAGAAAAGTTGTTGGGAGATGTCTCTGTTCATCAGAGTGGGTTGTACTTGAGTGAGGTCAAGGACAAGTTGTGTCGGGCTCGTGAGTTAACGAAAGAACATCTGGGAAGAACTCAACAAGCCATGAAAGTAAGATATGACAAGAAGTTCAAGGCTAAGCTCAGGTTGTTTGCTGTCGGAGATTTGGTGTTGGTGTTGAAACCTCGTATTGGAACTTCCATGTCCCATAAGTTCGCAGGACCCTACCAAGTGGTAGAAAAGGTGGGAGACCTAACTTATAAACTAATTAACCCTAATCTTTCAGAACCCCAAATGACTGTGCACATTAACAGATTAAAAGCTTATGTTGGACCAGGTGTAGTAGCTTGTTTTAGTCGGGAAGAGTTACCACCTGAGGATAATTGTAGTGAGGGAAATGATGTTAATATTAAACTCTCCGCGTTTGTTAGTGCCAAAACCAGATGGAACCTGGAGATTGTGCGTGGATTATAGGAAACTGAACAAGAGCACTACTGTGGACGTTTTTCCTTTACCCTTGTTGGAGGAATGTATTGAGTCCATAGGACATGCCGAATATGTAAGTAAGCTTGATTTGTCTAAAGGGTACTACCAAATCCCATTAACAGAGTATGCTAGGGAGGTTACTGCTTTTGTTACACCAGATGGTGCGTATGAATTTAATGTCATGCCATTCGGTTTGAGAAATGCACCTGCTACTTTTCAAAGACTCATGAATTTCTTACTCAAGGATGTGCCAGATTGTAGGGCCTAACTTGATGACATTGTTTTGTACAGTAAGAATTGGGCAGATCATCTCTTAGGCCTTAAGAACTTGTTTACAGTGTTGCAAACCGCAAAGTTAACCATAAAAATTAATAAGTGTAGTTGGGCAAGAGGTACAATAACTTATCTTGGACACGAGGTAGGACAAGGTAAGATTATTCCCTTACAAGATAAGATTCAAGCCATTGTTGACTACTCAGTGTTAACCAATAAGAAAGGAGTCCAACGGTTTATTGGTATGTGTGCATACTATAGGCGTTATTGTAGAAATTTTTCCACAGTGGCTGCTCCTTTGACAAATTTGTTACGCAAGCAAGTAAAGTTTCAGTGGACACAAGATTGTCAGAATGCTTTTCAGAACCTAAAGGGCATATTGTCCACATCACCTGTTCTTGCTAGTCCCCAATTTGATAAACCTTTCATATTACACATTGATGCGTCTGATGTTGGAATAGGTGCTGTGCTTATTCAAGTTGGTTTAGATAAGATTGAGCATCCTGTGTATTATTACTCAAGAAAATTTAATGCAGCTCAGAAGAATTATTCCGTGGTAGAAAAGGAGGCGTTGGGTCTTATATTGTCAATTAAGAAGTTCGAGATTTACTTGTCAGGAAACAAAGTGTTAGTATTTACAGACCACAACCCCCTTATCTTTAAAAATATGATGAAAGTCAAGAACCAACGAATTCTGCGCTGGTCATTGTTTTTGCAGGAATTTAATGTAGAAATCAAACATATTCCAGGCAGGCAAAATGTTATTGCTGATGCTTTGTCAAGAAGTTTTGATGTACCATAACTGAAATGTTTCTTTTTACTTAACATTTTTACTTCGGAAAAAATGCCATTGATCTTCAATCCATGCATTTTTTCTCTTGGAGGTGGAAGTGTTACGTACCTCTATAAGATACGTAATTAAATAAATTAATATGTACCTTTATAATAGTGTATAAATTACATGTATGTATATGGATATACTTATATGTTCTATGTAAAATAATTTCATGTTACAGTGTTGGCGTTAGGCCCAACGTATCGTGGGAATGATTGTTTTATTTCTTTGTGTACTCAGTTTCCCATGGGAACTAATGATTTATATGTGATCATATGTGGGTAACATAGGTGAATAATAATTGTGTGAACTGTATCTGGCAAATTGTCGTGGGATAGTCCGTTGCTGGATGAGCATGCCATTATTCCCCTTTTTATGTGTATTTTAATTACTATGTAAAGCAATAATTACCTTATTTTTGTTATACCAATATGTATTGACCATTCATTAAGTTAGTTTAAGATTACTCTTGTCACAATGTATTGCTCCATTGTAGAATTAATAAATATTGTAACTTTGACAATTTCTCGCGGGGCAGAAGCAATGATTTTGACTCCCGCAGATATGTAAGTCAGTAGCTGATCCGGAACCAGAGTTAACATCTTGTGGAATTAAGTTTTACATTATTGTTCTGTCATAACCATACATATAATAATATTATATTAATTTCTGGGAGAGACAGTAATATTTTAATTTGATATATTTGTGATAAAAGTAACCATCTGTATGCTATTGAGATTTATGTATTATATATATATATATATATATATATATATATATATATATATATATATATATATATATATATATATATATATATATATATATATATATATATATATATATATATATATAAGTTTTATATGTATTCCTTCAGTCCTAAAGGAAAATTTAACAAAGTGCTCATTACTTATTAAGGGGTTACACTGGTGACCCGCTCTTGTGAACAGCAGTTTTTTAGTAACCCTAGACCTTTTTTAAAATTGGCTGTTGTAGGGTCACGAGCCGTAACAAACGATAAGTAACATGGTGTCTGGTCCACAGGTAACGTCAAGTTGAGGTGGCTGACTCCTGGTTAAGTCGGTGTTGTCGCCATCGTCGGTGTTGTCGCTGTCGTCGGTGTTGTCGCCGTCAACAGCGGTGTTGTCGCCGTCAACAGCGGTGTTGTCGCCGTCAACAGCGGTGTTGTCGCCGTCAACAGCGGTGTTGTCGCCGTCAACAGCGGTGTTGTCGCCGTCAACAGCGGTGTTGTCGCCGTCAACAGCGGTGTTGTCGCCGTCAACAGCGGTGTTGTCGCCGTCAACAGCGGTGTTGTCGCCGTCAACAGCGGTGTTGTCGCCGTCAACAGCGGTGTTGTCGCCGTCAACAGCGGTGTTGTCGCCGTCAACAGCGGTGTTGTCGCCGTCAACAGCGGTGTTGTCGCCGTCAACAGCGGTGTTGTCGCCGTCAACAGCGGTGTTGTCGCCGTCAACAGCGGTGTTGTCGCCGTCAACAGCGGTGTTGTCGCCGTCAACAGCGGTGTTGTCGCCGTCAACAGCGGTGTTGTCGCCGTCAACAGCGGTGTTGTCGCCGTCAACAGCGGTGTTGTCGCCGTCAACAGCGGTGTTGTCGCCGTCAACAGCGGTGTTGTCGCCGTCAACAGCGGTGTTGTCGCCGTCAACAGCGGTGTTGTCGCCGTCAACAGCGGTGTTGTCGCCGTCAACAGCGGTGTTGTCGCCGTCAACAGCGGTGTTGTCGCCGTCAACAGCGGTGTTGTCGCCGTCAACAGCGGTGTTGTCGCCGTCAACAGCGGTGTTGTCGCCGTCAACAGCGGTGTTGTCGCCGTCAACAGCGGTGTTGTCGCCGTCAACAGCGGTGTTGTCGCCGTCAACAGCGGTGTTGTCGCCGTCAACAGCGGTGTTGTCGCCGTCAACAGCGGTGTTGTCGCCGTCAACAGCGGTGTTGTCGCCGTCAACAGCGGTGTTGTCGCCGTCAACAGCGGTGTTGTCGCCGTCAACAGCGGTGTTGTCGCCGTCAACAGCGGTGTTGTCGCCGTCAACAGCGGTGTTGTCGCCGTCAACAGCGGTGTTGTCGCCGTCAACAGCGGTGTTGTCGCCGTCAACAGCGGTGTTGTCGCCGTCAACAGCGGTGTTGTCGCCGTCAACAGCGGTGTTGTCGCCGTCAACAGCGGTGTTGTCGCCGTCAACAGCGGTGTTGTCGCCGTCAACAGCGGTGTTGTCGCCGTCAACAGCGGTGTTGTCGCCGTCAACAGCGGTGTTGTCGCCGTCAACAGCGGTGTTGTTGCCGTCAACAATCTCCGCCTCTCTGCCAAAGGTATGCTATATAACTCCCGTAATATCAATATTCTCGCATCTAATCTCAAATAAATAGAGATAACCTCTTATCTAGACCCAAGCTTACCATGGAATTTTAGATCCCATGTGGCATAACGACTGGTTACACTCACAAGACATATATTGCCATAAAAAGCTATACTGATTACTTAAACTAACCAAAAAGAGTTTGCCTTGTGTGGAGATAGCAGCAACGTGTGACGGTTGTGGCACTTCGGACGACCCAAATATTTCATGATGCTATTCTGCTTGCTTCAGATGGGACCTGCTCATGATAGTGTTGAACACAGAGAATGGTGAATGGTGTCTTCCCTTCCTTGCCGTGGTGTGTTCAAAAAATAGTTACGTTGTTTTATTTAACTCGTTCACTAACGAAACTGTTGTGGCGTTATTTTTTTACGTCCTAATTTATTACTCCAAATTCCAGAGAACAGTTTTCCAATGTCCGTAATGTTGGGCTAGAAGTTTGTGGAGTTTTAAAGCACATTTGATATGAGTTGAATATGTCGTGTGACTATTATTTTGCCAGCAGTGATATAACATTCACTACGGCAGTAATTTACTTCGTGATGGAAAAACACATTATTTCTCTGAGTTTAATTAATTTTCAATCTAAAATAATAATTGCAAATGAAAGCAAATTGTAGAATGGATTTATTAAGAGTTAAGCAAGGAAATAATCACTGCATGGTTTGTGGTGTCTGACACAATCACCCACCTTCGATTCTAAGAAACTTTGCCATTCCCTTACTAGAAATTAATATTGTTATAAAAATTTATTTCCTGACACAACGTATTTATCTTGCTGTGTCAGAGATTAGTACTCTGGGTGTCAAAAATTTCCGACACATGATCTCTTGGGACTTACCACGTGTGGAAGATGTTTAGTTTGGTATTCAATCAATGGCAGAGAATAACTGTATATATAAATAGTTGCTTGGATATGTATAACAGTTTGAGATTATGGGCAATGAAGCAGAAAACAGATAAATGACTGGCTAGGAGATGTGGACATTTTGCTGGAGGCGTGAGGCTCGCTTCCGGAGGACCTTGACCTCACTTGAGGCCAGACATCGCAGGGGAAAAGCCGCGCTCCGTTGAGCTCCCGTCAGAAGGAACCCCTAGTGATATATCTCGAAGAGAAGAGAAGTGTGCAGACGTACCAGCTGTGGAATCGAGCTGGGGACGTGTGGTCTCAAGTCGTGGGCGATAATTAGTGAATATTAAGCCGCCCGGAGGCATTATTGTGGGCCGTGGAGCCCCTGACCAAGCCTCGTCAGAGGAAGAAGCGCCCTCGACCAGACGATCTGTGGTAAGCACGATATACGCCAGTTCATAGTGATTGCTTGTAGTTGGTCGTGTGCCCAGCGACAGTAGCGATGTTTATTTATAAGTTAGACATGTTTTAATAGGCAGAAGGCCTGAGGAGGTTAGAATGGAAAGCTAGTTATCAAAGTGAGTACTCTAAATATATCTTTGTAATTGTTGTTTGTGCAATATTCCTCGTGATGATTTTCATTAATCAGCCACCTGACTGTAGGGTCTTGCATTCAGCCTGAAACGGGCGTGAGAACTAGTTGAGGAAGCACATGAGTGACAATTACAGTACATCTAAGTGATTACTGTAACTCGTCTCTGGTTGTGTATGATTACACGTTTTTACACATTTATTTTTTTGCTAAACTATTGTGTGTTTTTGTGCTTTTCAATTTATACCGATACTGTGTATTAGAATTTCCAGGTGTATGTTTTTTTCTCATAATAGGAGAAAACCAGTCTGTAAGTATTTACATTGAGGAGGGTTGGTCTCTGTGACTAGCCAAGGTTATTTATCTGTGATTACATTTCTATGTGATTATTATTTCTGTGTTATAGTGTTCAGTGTTGTTTTATGTTCTTTATGCACTGAAAGTTTAGTGCTGTTTGCTGCTGTGTTTTGATTGGTCTGCGTGACCAAGATTTATATATAGTTTGTGATTATAGATTGAAGGGCCATTGAGCATCATTATAGTAATTATCTAATATAATTAGTACTATTTAGATTGATAGAATTATCTAAGTGACAGCGTTGAGTTAATGTAAATCGTCTTGACTAATTAGCTGTCTGTGTGCCAGTAAGTAAGGGCTTACTCACTGATTATTTAATTGTCTCGTGACAGATTGTGATTAACATCAATTACCTTTGATTGGAAAAACTGTCTGAGTGATAGATTGTAATTAACGTAATTAATTCCTGTAGTTATCTAAACGAATGGTCTTGATTGAATCGATTGGGGTTCTGGTTGAGGATTATCGTCCGGAGAGACGTTTGTTATCATAGTAAACTTTGGTTACAGATGAGTGTCTCATTGACAGGTGTTGCTATTGTTGTTATTGTCTTGTTACTTCACATTGGTTGCTGCAAATGCTTTGAATTGTAATCTTGCATCCAAGTGAGCCCCTGATGTTCAGTTAGATAAATCTGACTCAGCCGCGAGTGGTACTTCTGTTCTACTTTACTGGTTGAGTGATTAGCTTTTCACAGTGACACTTCGGACATCAACGTAGCATTAAATTGGTGTGCCATGTAATAATATGAAGTTTATAAATAAATTTTAATTAATTGTTACCAAACGAGAAGTGTCTTTATGTCCTCACCTTCCAATAATCTTGCACCCCAAGATTTACTCGGCCGCACACTAGACTACTACTTGCATTTCTAGTGAGCGCCTGCTACTGGATTCGAACCAATTTCATAGCCACACACACACCAATTATAAATTTGGTGTGAGATCCCATTTAGCTACCCTTAAGATTGCCATCAGCAGTTAAAGCAGCCTAATGACCCAGTGAGTAGGAGTGCCAAGGATTTGGACTCCGGCAGATGCTCTCGCCGTTTATTTTTAGTTTTAAAGTATATTATCTAGTATGGCATTCAACATGTTGGTATTGTGCAGTTCTTTCCCACTAAGTAAACTTGTAATATAGTTCAAGTTTAAATATTAAAAAATCTCACAAAAGGACTAGTGGCGGGAGGGAAGACTATGGGAAGGTTAAGAAAGAGGGGGGATGGAGAGAGAGAACGAAGAGAAGGACTGGTGGTGGGAGGGCAGACTATGGGAAGGGCGAGAGGGGGAAGTGGCAGAAGGGAGAATGAAGGGAAGAACTGGCGACGAAAGAGATGACGATGTGTAGGTCAGAGAGGATTGGGGTGGGTGTGTAAAGGGCGGAAGGAGAGAGGATGAGCAGAGGTATGAGTGGGTGGGGAAGGAGGAAAGGAAAGAAAAGGGCCAGGACGAGAGGAGGGAGTTTGGGAGTATGATAGGAAGGGGAGTGGAAAGGTTGTAGATAGATAAATAAATAAATAAATAAATAAATAGATAAGTAGATTGATGGATAGATAGATGAGTAAATTGATAGATACATGGATAGATTGATGAATATTCTGATACATTGATAGATTAATGGAAAGATGGATGGATTGATGGAAATAGATAGATTAATGGATTCATTGATGAATAGATGGTGTTATGAATCCCAGGTAGCCTAGTGAGGTAAGTCTACCTTGTGAGAGTTACTCTACCCACCTACGTGTAGGTAGGAGTCAGGGGAAGGAAGTAAATTAAGTAAACGGCAGTCAATTATGACTAAATACAGACAAATTGAGGATGAGCATCTTATAGAAGAGAGTGGAGATGAGATGTCGACATTTTGTTACGTGACGTGACATGGGAGGAAGTCGTAACACGTCACCTGAGTTCCTAGAGTCGTCAAGGATAGACGTACGTCGATGCCCTCCTTGGAAAGAGGGCAAAGAGTGAAATAAGATATGGTTCCCGGTTTAGTGTTTGAGTGAAGGCTAAGTGGACAACGTGTGAGGAAGCTGCCGAGAACAACGAACGTCATTTCACAGTGATTGTGAACGGTATCCAGGAAAGGTTTGTGGACGACCTGTTTGAGAGCCATATTTCGCACGTCACGGGCAGGCGCTGTGTCATTAGCTTCCCGTGGTAAGATCACATTAAATTGTACTACATTGTTTGTTATTGATCGATCGGGTGCCCAGCAATCATAGGAGACGTTTATGAAAAATGGTTAAATATTTTATGAAGGTAGAGTATATAATGAGGTTGAGCTGACGGGACACTGTGAGAGCGCGAGTGACATATACACACTCGCCGGAGGTCAGTGAAGGACTGAAATGCAGAGCACCAGGGTGTCCCATAGGAGAATGATTTCAGTGTGGACTCGTCCAGCATGGGGGAATACCCATCTCAGTAAAACTGCCTCGGAGACGTCGGATGGCGAGATTAATGTTAACATGTATATTTGTTATTTATGTGTTATTAACACAAAAACAAAAACATGTTATTATGGTTTGGCAGTGGAATTACAGGTTTGTGTTTGGGGAAGTTCGTGCAAGAGCTTTGTGTCTGATGAAGATTATATTGTGAATCTCCAAGTGTAGAGCGGAATGTTCAAGTGTGGAGCTGAACTTCAAGTTTGGTGTTGAACTTCAGTAGTAGAGCAGAACTTTATTGGTAGTGTGGAACTTTGAGTGTAGTGGAGCTACATTTTTTTTTTGCGAAACTACATAAAGAAACTTCACAAGCGTTGAGTGGGATTTCAAGTAGCAGTAAACTTAGAAGAGACTACAGGAGTACCTACTTGATTTCGAGGACCCATAGATAGATGGTCCTAGTGGTGGGCCTCAGGACACAGTACAGAGAACTATATGGACAACATGATATGTATGAGGGAGTGCTTGATTACATATGGGCTTGAGTGACGCAATGTAAAGTGAGATTTTTTTGTTCTTGTTGGAGATATTCTTATATGCAAGTTACCCAGCCAAAAGCAGTGAGAAAGCAAAAGTATGAGGGCGGAAATTGCGCAGCAGCCTAGCAGTTTATTTGGAGATGATTACATAAATGTGATTAGGTTTTGAAGAATCTGATGATACTATGTTCCATTATTTTATTCTTTGTATTTTCTTGTAATGTTTGTCTGTAGACAAATGATTTTTGCTCTTGTCCTGGTGTGGTTTTCTAGAGAGAGAGAGAGAGAGAGAAACGTTGCAGATTGGTTCACAGTGGACAGATAATGAATGGGAATTAGATCAGCCCAAAATAAGGTGAGTGTGTGAGGGAGTCACGGTGGCTCGACAGTCAGTGTATTCATGACCAATAGACCAGATTGGGCCCGTCTCTACAAGTTAAGGTGACGTTGAACCTATCTCAGAGTATACAACGATGTCAGGGTGATCCTCCAATATGCCACCCGTGTCCATTACTGATTGACGATAGCAGAAGTGTAGCTGCAGGGGTTAATCTTACCAGGGAAGTGGTTGGGGTCTTTGTTCCCTATAAATAAAGTATATAAAGTAAAGTTCAGTTTCAAGTTTATAAAATCCCTAACCCCCTGATAATGGATACATTGATAGATAGACGGATTGATTGATTAATAGATATATGGACATAAGTGCTGAGGACCCCTTAAAGCATTTGATGATTCTTTGGATACTACCAATTTAAAAGTTTGTCGAAACGTTTCACAGTTTCTAAAGAACTTGAAAGTTAAGATGGAACAAATTCCTAAATTTGATCATGGTAATATAATAAAAGCCCAACGTAAGATGAAACTTTATTTTGATAAGAACACTAAAGCTAGAGAATTAAAAGTAGGAGATTTTTTTCTTGCGTACCTTCCTATCCCAGGCTCTCCTTTCAAAAGTAAACTTTCAGGTTCATACAGAATTAAACAATGTAAAAATAACAATATTTTTGTTCTAGAAACTTAAAACATTTTAAGTGAACTTACTTAAAATGTATAGATGTAATGACAATATTTATTGTGTTCTGGATTTATCCTAAATTGAATGTTCAACAATTCCAATAAAACCTTCCTATGCGTGACTCCTACCCTGCCAACACAGCAATGGATTGTGACAATACTAGTGAACCTGTGCTCTTTTACCTTGAATACTTAAGTGATCTTATTTCAGACTCTGCTACTGATATTATTACTCCAATTGCTAAATTATTCTCCATCATGATAAACTATTCCAAGATTCGCCTCAGGAATGCAGTTAAGTACAGCACGTCATCGAGCTGCAACCTGACGCTGTTCCAACCAGACACCTTCTCTACAGCATCAGTCTGCAAAAGAAATCCTTGAAAAAGGAAGTACAATAACTCGTCGACCATTGACTGACTACACCATGTCAGTCCCTTTGAGTCTCAACCTGCATTCTAGTATCAAAACCACACTGCAAGGTAAGATTCATACCTCTTGGCATTCATCGATGACATCCTTGATGCTATGAGAAATGCTAAGTTCCTGTCTCAAATAGATCTCATAAATGGAAAGTACCAAATAGGGTTAACTGAACATGCAGAGGAATCTCTGGTTTTATAACTCCTTTTGGCCTCTTCAGGTATGAAAGATTGCCTTTTGAACTATGCAATGTACCAGCTACATTTCAGTGGGCAGTCAACTTAATCATCCATTTTCAATTGGATGATTAAGCTTACAATTTCACAATCAACAGGAATCAGCCAAGCCTAATGAATGAAATTCATAATTTTAATACTTTCGCGCTCTGCGCGAGTGAGCCTCTCACTATCTAAGGTGGGTCTGGGCATTTCTGCGCACTCCCTGGTAGCGCACGGGAATTCTGAAAAATGTATACTCTTTTCAACTTTGTCACCTCAATCTCGTCCTAGGATTTTCAATTTGGTATCATTGTCTTCGCAATAGAATTCAATAGATGTATATCACTACAAAAAAAATTCTAGTTTCTTATATCAATCGAAATCACTATCCAGGATTAATTTACTTACTTGGTTTGGGGTAAATCCCCACGTTGTAACTAAGTCCTGAAATAAACAGGTAGACGGCCTAGACACATAAACTGACGTCAATTAACAATGCCATAAATCATCACCATACTTGGAACCGGAGGCTAATGGCGTCGGTCGCTTTCCTCCTCACTTGCTTCCCTCCTCACTTGCTTCCCTCCTCACTTGCGAGTGGTGGGTGCGAATATTTATTTGTTTTATTTAAAGTAAGTGGTGTTTATTCACTAATATGTTAAAAGATTGTTAAATGCTATGACATTACCTAAATTAATGTAAGATAACAAATATTATAAATTACGATTTCCTGATTTAAGAGCTCGCATGTTAAGACTTTGTCAGGAAGGTTTCCATTGGTCGCCAGTGTCAGGAGTCCCCTCATGGAGCTCCTATTATTATTGTATTTTGGTAGGGACGCGAGTCTTATTTTCCTCGGCGTCACCCCTTTTATATGAAAGGAACCATTGGAAATGCATCCGAGGTGCCGTGTGGCTTCCTATTATATATATATTTTTTTTATATGTATATACAAGAGTTGTTACATTCTTGTAGTCACTAACACGCAAAGCATTTCTTTCACGTTATTAATGCTAATTTTCCCATAAGTACAACCCGCCAAATCATTTAACAACCATGTTCGCATTCATTGCTGGGTGAACAGAGGCTACATTTAAAGATTAGCGCAAAGTAAATCCTCCCCGGTCAGGATACAAACACAGGCCAAAGCCCTCGCAAAAAGCAAGGCGAGTGTATGTTACCACTTTGCCACGGAGACGCCTGTGATTATAGAAGGTCTTGCAAAAACTTCAGCACAGTCACTACCCCTTTGATACAACTTACAAGTACTAAGAGAAAATTCATGTGGACGACCTCTTAATCTACCACTTTCAATCAACTCAAGACATTACTGTGTACTAATCCTATTCCCCCCTCGCCAGATTTGAAACAGCTATTCATTCTTCATATTGCCCACAGAAGGGGCATTGGATGCATACTGATGCAACATTGAAACGGAGATGTATTACAAGTGCAGGCGATGAGTCACAATAACGTGGCTGAAGTATGTTGACCAGACCACACACTAGAAGTTGAAGGGACGACGACGTTTCGGTCCGTCCTGGACCATTCTCAAGTCGATTCTCACAATCGACTTGAGAATGGTCCAGGACGGACCGAAACGTCGTCGTCCCTTCAACTTCTAGTCTGTGGTCTGGTCAACATGTATTACAAGTCAGCTACTTCAGTTACAAACTGATCCTTCACCAATACAACTACAGCACAACAGAAAAAGAACTACTTGCAATACTTCTGTCTGCCTTTGCGGTATGAACCATATCTCCAGGGTCACCAGCCAGTCATCATCAACTCAGACCACAAACCTCTATGCTTTCTCCATCAAGCCCAATTCCTCAATGTCTATTGCATCCATCAAGCCCTATTCATGTCTATTATGATGGGAGTTATATCTACAAAATTACAACCTGATTATCAAGTATATTAAGGAATCGGACAACATCGTTGAAGATGTTCTTTCACGAGTATACAAAGTGGAGCCTCCTACTTCTGCAGTTCCTGTGGGAAATTTTCCACCTATCCCAAAATTTCTTTAATACAACATGCGAAATAAAAATATTGCGTTTAGTATTAATTAAATATTAAAATAAAATAAATTAGTGAGTCCTGAAAAGTTTGGCATGCATGACAAATTTGTTCCAGAAAAAAAGAATTATATTATCATATCGCTAGCATCTCATACCCAAAATATTATTACTCAATTTATTACTAAAACCAACAGTCTGAGGACGGAAAATAACATAAATGCACTTAATTAAACTGAATTATCAGTAGCTAAGTCAATCATTAAACTCCTCCTCCTCCTCCTCCTCCTTCTGCAATATATGAACAACGTTTTGGTGATGAGTCACGAGAGAGGGAGGGAGGAGGAGGAAGCCTTTATGTCTAGAGAGCCAGCACAGGTCATACCAGCTAGTGATACATGGAGTGTACCGCTTGCATTGAAAGTAAATACCTATGCAAACGGACGTCTTCAGTAGTGTAAATTGAGACTAGAACTGTGCGCAACACCTGCGCAGGTGAGCCAATTGGCCCCCCATGAACAGGTATTGCACTAGTCTCATGGGTTGCTGGGGGGGGGTGTCCCCATGGGCGCACGTGTGTGGTCCCACGGCCCGTTGTGGGTCGTGGTTGGGGGTGGGGGTGTCTCTGCATGCCTGGGTGTGGTCTCGTGGGGGTGTTGTGGGTTGCAGGGGGGGGGTAAAATGTGTAAGAATAGGAACAGGTGTGCAGTTGGAGTAGTTATAAGATGAAAATGTAAGTGTATGTAACGTAGAGTTAAGCAGCATATGTGGATATATAGTTAAATAAAAGTATGTAGGATGGAGATGTGTATGTTGAGCGAGGAGACGGGTCCCACCCATGAGAACACAGGCCTAGGAGATCGTATATCTTAAGGTGTACGGTTAGGGAATGGTGTGTGTAGGACAAGGGGAGTTGAAGGGCACACCAAGGGAGACATCTAGGTGGCACCGACAGTGGCTCTCACACTCTCCCTCTCTCTCCTGATTAAACAATAATGTCTGTGGTATGTTAGCAAAAGTTAAGATGTTCCCAGCATGGACAGTTTGAAGGAGTAGTACCCCCCTCCCTGTCCAGCTCGTTGGTGCTGTGGAGGGGGCTTGGTGGGCGGCTGCCGGAGTGTGATGCTCCTTAAGACAGTTCTCTGTTCTTTTGTAGTCTTGTGCTCCTGCTGCTATCCTCTCTAATTCTGCTGGACACCTTTTTCCTTTTCCTATTGTTCCGTTTTTCTCCCCCCCCCCTTCTTCTCCTTTCTCGTTGTCATTTCCTGCTGACCTTGTGCCTGTTTTGATCATTCTTTTGGCCTTCTTTTGTTTTGTCGCCCGGGTGTTTGAGGAGGCATACTTTTGCACCCGTAGAACTGTAGTACCCAACGTCTTGAGAGAGGGGAACCTTTTATTGTTAATCCACCTTTCGTCACTGAACCCGATCTCGATGGACTGACGGTTCTTAAGGTGGCGATTGTGGGGCGTATACACACTACGCACCCCTAGATTGCCCCGGCATGATCGACGATAGCTTCTTGTTGGGTGTCTTGCCTCTAATTGTGGCTCAATGGTGGGTGTGGGGGCACATTCGGGGGCTCTGTAGCCCCCGCTGCGTTGGGCCCCTGTGGGGGTTTTCTATTTTGCTTTCCCGACTGCAATGTGTACGTCGCCAATGTACATGTAGCAGACGCTTCACGAAGCTATCGGAATCAGCAGAGAAAATACGAGAGCAACCGTACAGGGCCTGGGAGCAGGGTCAAGTTAGAGTCCTTGAGGGTCTCTTCTCAGACTAGCCTCACCTGGTCCACGTTGATCGTTGGAATCTCCTCTATGATTTAACACTTTAAGGGACTCCTAGGGTCCTCATCACATTTACAGTTTAGTGAATATAGGCAACTCGGTGTTGAAGACACCTAGAGCTGAAGGCTTGAGTAAATAGTTAGCAGTATTCAGAAGTGGTTCAACGGAAACACCGCATAAAGCTTAACAGTAGTTTATTTACTAACTTAACCACTAATACAAAGGGTGCTTGATTTACTTTAGATTGGTGTCGGAAAGGCTATGGTTGCATTAGCGAGACTCCTGATGTCTGGCTAATCGATTCGGATCCACTCATGGAAAACCTAACTTAACACAGTTGATAGCCAATCATTAACACAGTAACCTAACTGCCAGTATGCAAAGGGATCACAAGAGTTCCAACCGGATACTCGGGGTAATGATGATATGCATAAACACAATGGCACTGTCAATGGGACAGGCAATAATATGCACAATAATAATATCACACAATACTAAATGTGTGGTGCATGTGAAGCTCACATTCAGACGAGTGTAATGTCGTGGTACCACACAGATAAACACGCATACACCGTCGGATGCCTTTACCTATAACCTGTGTCAGGTATGAGTAGGTGAGAACTGTGGTTGATACCTCTGATCAACACAGACAGACACAATAAAACAATGACAAGATCTTGTACTTACAGGTAGGATACCTCTCTTATTCATTCACTCACTCAGGAACATTTATGCAAGAACTTGTAGGTGGCCTGACAGCTGGGCGCTCGTTCTGACGTGAGACCATATGTGACAGTCTTTCCCACAAAC